CGACTTTGTCATCATATGTTGGGAGATCCATTCTACTTATTCGTGTAGATGAGATGAGATCATGACCACTTCCAGAATCCAATATGAATCTCTTATCTCTTTCCTCAACAGGAACAGTGATACACATTGTGTTGCCCCTTTTACCATATCGGCCCTCGATATGCTGAACATAGTTCTCTACAAAGACTTCCCTGGACACCTCACCGTCCTCGATGTCGAGTCTGATCAGAATGTCCAGGCTGGGGCCGACGATGACCAGGACTTCATCAATGTCACTGTGCTCACCCTTCTCATCGATCAGAATAGCCATTGCTTTCCCTCGGCTCGATGCTAGTCTGCATGAATAAGACCATTGATCATCTTGCCTTATCTGATCGGTGGGCTTACCAACTTTACCATGACCTTTGGGGATGGTCTGGGATTTCCGGCTGCACTTCACGAAGTCCTTCTTCACGTACGTTTGGATGCAAGTCTTGGATTCTTCGAATCTGACCTTCTTCTTGACGACATTCGATGCAACCTTGTGGAATGTCCCCTCGTCATCACTCCATTCATGGACAAGTGCAGGAGTAGCCTTTGAGCTTGATGCTTCGGTGTTCGGGGCAGTGTTGAATAGATGAGGATCGTGACGTTTGTTGCATTTGTCTCCATATCGGCACTTGCCCTTGGCCCAGTGCCAGCATGGTTCATCAACCTTCTTGGTCTTGTTCGCTGGAGATTGACTTCTCGGAGTTCCTGGCTTTCGACCATTCCCTTTCGCGTTCTTGTTCGCATCAAACACCTTTTGGTCGTGACTGTATTCACAATCTTTGCCTTTTCTGCATGCTTTCTTGATGAAATGGAAGTGGCATGGGATCTTCTTCTTGGATCTTGGACTAGTACTTCGGCTGTTTGGTCGACCGTTTCCTTTCCCTTGACCTTTTCCTTTTCCTTTTGCATGCTGTTTTGGTTGAGGTGATGGTAGAACTGGAGCTGCCTCAGCCTTTGCCTTAGGTGCTGCCTTCTCCTTGGGAGTGGCTTTAGGCTTCGCTTTCGGATTGGCATCTGGTGCAGCAGCAGTTGGATTCGGTGCAGGAGCAGTGGGTTTGCCACCACCTGCAAAATCCCTTGCATACTTCTCTCTAGCGGCCACATGCTTGTCTTCTCTGATTCTGGAGATGTGCCTTTCGATGACGTCCAACAGGTAGCGATAGCTTCGTCTTTGGTCTCCTTCAATCCATGACTCGTACTGCTTGATGTCGAACATCATAAGACTCGAATTTCGAATCTTCTTATATAGAGCGTCACGAAGCCAATCATCAGGAGGTACATCATCCGGCATCATGTTTGATACCATCTCCATCCATTTCTCGTAGAACACTTCCAGGTTTGAGTCACCGAGATACTTCATCGATACGATGTGCTCCATGGTGAAGGCTGTCTCGCGTTGACCTGGGGTTCTGAAGTGTTCCAGGATCATAGCCAAGATTTCTCGTCCCATAACATAGGTTCCTCTTCGGCTATGACTCTGTGTTCTCAATCTCAGTTTAATTGCTACATGACGAGCAACATCACCGGCTTGGGCTATAACGTTTGACAATGCAATTGACAACTTGGCGTCGATTGACTGGTATCGTTGCCCACCACTGTCATTCAATAGCTCAATGTCAGGATTTGGTCTTATAGCCGGTTGTAACCATGCCTCCCATGCAGCTTTGTCTCCATCATTCGCGGCAAGAACAACACTCTTGATGAGATCTGATTGCCAAACCCCAAGGTTCTGTTGCTTCGGCCATGGGCTAACATAGACTTTGTCAGCCTCCCGTCTTGACATTCTCGGTACTTCTTCTGCCGTGTACGCCGCTGTGGAGATGTCATCTGCTGAGTCACGTTGTGATCCTCGAACTGAAGGCAAACCAGGAGGTTCTGGAGGTGGTCCTGGACCGTTGGGCCCAAAAGGGTCAGGAGGTCCATCAGGGTCAGGCGGACCCCCCCATCCGCTCGGAGGCTTGTAATAGTCCCTCTCAGTTCCATCGGCTATCTTGTTGTCAACTTCTTTCAGCAGACCGGTGATTCTTTTGTTCGATTGAGAAGGTTGTTGTTGAGAAAGTCCAGCATGTCCGCGATAGGATTGAGCAACATTTGTCTCGTGGGTCAACTCCTTGTCAATCTGCGATACCCAAGATTTTAGGATAGCGTTCTCAGAGTTAGCCTCATTCACCTCATTCTCCAGTTTGTCGATGACCAGTCTTGATGCGAGATCATAGTTGGGGATGCCTGCCGAATAGGGAAGTGTATCAGGGCTGACCCTAGACATAGATGTTTCAGAATCCTTGAGACTCTTTCTCAGTTCATCTAAGTGACGTTTCATGTCAATAATCTCAGAATTCTTGATACCAATCTTTTCATCCCTATCCTGAATTTCCCCCATGAACATGCATGATCTCTCATATTGTTGAACACCACTAGCCAATTTCATTTTACGCTCACTTTCTAGTTCAGATCTTAAAGTTCGGACTTCAGCGTTGGAGAAGGACGACGCCCCTACATCCGCAACTTCAGTCAATCTTTCTTTTAACAACATGTTCTCCTGTAAGCATTCATGAACTTCATGGTCTAGATCCTGAACCCTGATTTGAGCGATTTTGGCTTGATTACGTAGATCTTCAACAAGCATCACATCGGGGCCACGACCGTCGGTCGTAGTGCCCTGAGTCAATGATCTTCGCAACTTCACGTTCTGCAATTTGATCTCATCCTTCAATTCACAGTTCATCTCCTGCTCATTGGTGTAGAGCTCTTCATAGTGCTCTGCCCTTGCGATCGAATTTGCACTAGCCTGTGATTCAAGCCTCAGGTGTGATATCGCTTCGGCCTCATGGTTCCTGTATGATGCAATTCTTCTGACAGTATCATGTTCAGTATTTCGGTGCTTCAGATCACTTTCCAATTTGGCCTGATTTGCCTCGAAAACCTTCTTTCTAGATTCTCTAGTGATCTCTTCGATACTGCTTTCATACAACTCGGCCTGTTTACGAGACTGAACTAGAGCTTCACTCAATAGCTGATTCCGTTCAGACAATTCATGAACTGCAATTGATTGTTGTTGGCTAATCACTTCAAGTTGATTGCTGGAGAAGGATGCCATTTCGGATCGATTACGATATTCCATAATTGAGTTCTGGAAATCCGTCTGCATTTCTTGACCTTCATTGTACAATCGGTTGGCAATATCGGTAGTTAAGACATTGGTTTGATGAAGTTGTTGCAGTCTTGCCTCCGTATTACCCAATAGTCCTTGAAGGTGATGTACTTCATCCTTGTACTCTTCCTGGATCTCCATACCGCGTTGATGTATCCGTCTTGCACCATGTTCCATCAGGGCACCTCGGCGTTCAAGGTCTTGGATGCGTATTGTTGCACCTTCGTCTTCCTGAGATGCTACCATTAGTTCTGCTTGATATTCTGCAACCTCATTTGCGGAACATGACAATCTATGATTGAGTGCATTGACCTCATCAAATACGTTCTGGTTGTGTTCCTGAAGATACTCAGTGAATCTGATCTCGATGTCATGAATCAGTTGATCTCTTGATGCAGCATATGCTTCCATGTGGTTCAACTGATTACGTAGGGATTGACATTGTGCCCGTAGTTCTTCTATCATGGCAATAGGTTCACTAGCCACAGAAGTATCCGTTGATCTCCTCTTAACACGACTGTCCCCGGTCCTCTCACCAATTCGGTCGGTTACGGCCCTGGTGGATCTGTCCCTTGGGGTAGTTCGTCCTCGAGATGGTCGATGCCCTTGACGAACAACATCACTTCGAGCACTGTTTCGAGAAGATCTTGGTGTACTTTGGGTGGATATTCTTCGTCTGTTTGATGTAACTTGCCATCCGGACTGTGTAGTTCGGGTAGAGCGTATCCCACCACTGTCTGCCGTGTCGCCAGGGGAAGATTGAGTGACCTCCTCGACCGGCATAGCAGTGTTCCCATTGAAGGTAAACTGCGTGTTGCGCGAATCTCCGCTGCCGCCCTGCATCTTTGCGATGATGAGCTGATTGGTCCTTTACGTTCACAATCTTTAGCTCAGACGGCCCGGCTACCAGCACGCAGGTACTCCTCTTCCGACGGAAGAAGTGAGCCCTTACGGCTGATAACCTGTGAACAAATAGATCCTTGTTCTGGATTACTTCTTTTCGGAGTCCCTGATGTGCTGGAAGTCAGGCTTGTCGTTCCATGAAACGGCAGCGCACGCAGCTCCCTTTTTACTCGCGGGGTCTTGAGCCATAAAGGCGTCCCATGCACACATTACATGTATGTCACACATGCGGTACTGCTGAGTTCCCTTTGACAAGTTCATATATAGTTCATATATAATAGTTCATATATAGTTCATATATAGTTCATATATAGTTCATATATAGTTCATATATAGTTCATATATAATAGTTCATATAGTTCATATATAGTTCATATATAGTTCATATATAGTTCATATATAGTTCATATATAGTTCATATATAGTTCATATATAGTTCATATATAGTTCATATATAGTTCATATATAGTTCATATATAGTTCATATATAGTTCATATATAGTTCTTATATAGTTCATATATAGTTCATATATAGTTCATATATAGTTCATATATAGTTCATATATAGTTCATATATAGTTCATATATAGTTCATATATAGTTCATATATAGTTCATATATAGTTCATATATAGTTCATGTATAGTTCATATATAGTTCATATATAGTTCATATATAGTTCATATATAGTTCATATATAGTTCATATATAGTTCATATAAGGCAAAGAAAAGTCAGTCAATAAGTTCAATAAGTGCTTCAATATCACTCATTCAATCATAGCATATCAATGTGCACACTCCCGTTTAGAGACATTGAAGTCACAAGGGGGTGAAACTCTGTTCCGCTGTGTTGTCAGGAATCTGTGGCTGCATATCTTTGCGTAGAGAATTTGATGAACTGCATAGACAATCCGAGCATCGCTTTCGATCGACGGTCTCTCGATGGAAGTCACTTCTCCCAGTCCGTGCTCGCGGCCCGAGGCGTTGGCCCACACCAGGCAGCCCACCTACGGACCCACGACCATGCAATGCATTGCAATGCATATCTCTTAGAGAGATTATGTCAGGCATTGTCAGGCTGTTACCAGGTTAAGATCTGTCAAGCCCTGTCCAAGGAATTTGTTTGGCGCATCATGAGCAAACCAGGGGCATGACAGGGAGATGAACCGTTTTTTCGGCGTAACAGAATCAAGATGGGGCAGGTTCCACGTGCGAAGTCTGTTGGCCGACGTGCACGGCTTTCGAGTTAAACGGTAGAATTGGTTTCATCTTGTTCACAAAAGATAATGTATAATATATATATATAATCATTAATTATAATATTCAATTACGTTAAAAATAGCAGCCTACCGAAAATGGAAATAACCCAACATGCCCAACTGCATCTTATTGTCCACATCACTCTCTGCAAAGAGCAACCAAAACAATAACAAAACGCACTTCATCCTCGAACCAGAACAACTTAGGCGATGCACTCCACTCAGACTCAAGAGATTTGCACTCACATTTTTAGTTTCGTGCTAAGTCTAAAGAAATCCTTGGGTTTTGGTTCTTGATGTTTTTTGCCACTTCCACCTCGTCCTTGCCTGGATGTGCAAAAACTGGTCGGTAATTGACGGAACCGAGCTGCTGTCTGCAGGTATCTTGGCACAGGCGGCGACCCAGAGTCATCTGAAGGTCAAAGTGAGTCAAACTGGTAAAAAGATGTAAAAAGATGTAAAAAGATGTAAAAAAGCCAACAGGACAGGCACCAAAGCATCAAAGTGTGCCCATGGACCACTGCAAGATTCGAAGATTCACACGATTTCACACGGCACAAATTTAGTGGAGCTTTGGCTCAAGATCGGTGAGCCGTTCACGCACTCGCAGTTTTCGCCATGAAAATGCTACTGCTGAAACATAAATACATTGCACAGCTTGATCTTTGTGGTCTGGGATCCATCTGTTCTATAAAATGCCGAGCCCAAGCCAACCCAAAAAATAGAACAATACCCAACGGTGATGCTCAAGGTCAAGAAATGCATGAGCAAAAGGATTCAAAAGGTCTTCGACCAAACACACGAACTACTATCAAACATTGCCCAAATACGCACCCAAAAGGAAATGGTTGAAATGGTGGCGAAAAAGAACAAGCCCTGGTTTACCAGTGAGATGCTGGGATTCCGGGCCCAGGATGGCCCAGGGTTCCGGTTCATGTTTGCTGTGTCACGAGATATCATCCAATGCAAACTGTTTGCAATCCATATTTTCTTTGCAATATTATTGTTGACCACACTTGCGCGGATTCGTGTTGATGTAGCCGATTCTCGGCAAGTCTGCATCGAAAGACCCAATTCATTGGTGTCAAATCCGGAGTGTTGGATTAACGAGCCTGGGCGCTAAGTTGTCTCAGCAACTGCTGCTGCTGGAGTGTGTGAAGAATTGTGTCTTACAACGGGAACCTGCCGGCCACACATTTGACACCCAACCTCAAGTTGCAAACGCGTTGCCCGTGGTGCGCACTTGAGCAGCTCTGACGGCTTCTTGGACATCAGCTTGCCTGGAGCAAGAATAGTATAGAATAGTAACGTAGCCCCAGTGGTCCGGGGTGCTGCGCAATTTGAGGCTGGGGACCGAAATCAATTGATATGGCTGATAAGGTAGTAAGGCAAAATTTGTATCTTGGGGACAAATCCAGCTACACAAGCGGTCCCAATTGTGCATAATCGCCGCCCTGAGGAAGGTGCTGGCCCGCTCATCCACTAAACTGGGAACCCAACCGTAATCACCAATGAACTCTGAAAACGAAGGAAGTGCTGCTGTGTTATGCTGTGTTCTCATATCTTCATATATCTTCATATATCTTCATATATATCTTCATATATCTTCTACATCATCTACATCCCCGCATGCGGTGCCTTGAACTTCAACCTGGAAGCACTCGGTTGTGGCACCTTTCACTTCACCTGGGCTGAGGCCGTTGAAAGATGATGGTTGAACGTGGTGACATTTGGCTCAGATCGTTGTAGTTTTCGATTCGTGAGATTCCTGACCATTCAACACACAGGGTCAGTCCTGGGAGGATTCTTTGCTCAGCTACAAAATCTGTGGAGCCAGAAACCCATCATGATCAACCCTCACACACCCGCGTTTTCTCGCACAGGTAAGATCTGCGAAGTAGTAGAATCACACATCTAATCCTGCACGCCGAAAGTGGAAATCAATGACCGAATAGAATAAACATAGCCTTCCATTGCCAAACCTCATCACTGTCTAATCGCATCTGAGTTGTGACCGTTGAGCTTGTTGTGAGGTGAGCTGTAGCTATGTCTGTTGCACTTTTGTGCTGCAACTGTGGCTCAACAAGGCACACCGCACTGATCTGCAGAAATCCTTCAGAAGTTTGGCACCCCATTTCCCAATCACCCTGTGAGCATAAGTCACCGATGACATCAAAGGATTCCGTTCCAGCCACATGGACCTGTGTGCCCTTCTGCAACTCTGCTAGACGAAGGCCAGGAAGCGCCAAAGTGTGGTAGGAACTGAGGCCGGACATGCAACCGCTGGTTGGGGTCCGGGAAATCGTCTCCACATGAGTTGGAATATCTTGGAAACGGTATTTGTGGGCACATGTCAATACCCAACAGATGTCATTCGAAGGAATACGTTTCAGTACACTGTGACACATTTCCACAAAGGATCTTGCAAAGGTCTCTCCAATACCCAAAGGATTTTTTTTTCTGTGCCTTTGCAAATCTCTCTCTCTCTCTCTCTCTCTTGCTAGTCGTTTGATATCTTTTGCAGGCGTGGCCCATGTTGTTGAGCCTAGTTGTGGGATTGGGGCGTGCGCCAAAATTTCGTGATGCTGTTGACTTGGAATCCCTTCGGACGAAGGAACTTGGAAAACACTGTCCCCGAAACACCAAGACACACACACACATACGCACCTAATTACACCTCGAGAAAGTGTGATAATGTGAGATTGATGGTGCGCATTGGTGCGCTCAGTTCCCCCTTGCCAAATGTTTTTGCCGCGCCGATGAATGATCAACGTTGGGTAGCATTGAAAACTTGCCAACTGCCCCGCACACTGAATGACCTCGCAATTTTGGGAAACGCGTTCATGAGACAATCATGAGACACTATTGACATCTATTGACACTGTACGAATCTGGCACTGCGATCGACACTGAGACTGTGATCCAAGGAGCTTCCCGGAAGCGTCGCTGAAGCGACAGTAGGCAGACCCATCCTTGTAGCTACATGAATGTCATGGCAAATCATGGCAAGCAAAGATATCGTAATCCCTTCATAGCCTTCATACATCAAGAAAATGAGAAGAGGTCAATTGTCGTGAAGACATCTGGTCCGAGTGGCATCTTCCATTGACGGTCTTTCAATGGAAGTTACTTCTCCCAATTCTTCATGCTCGACAGCACCAGCGTGGGTTGTGACGCACACCAAACAGCCAACCTGCAGTGCCGTGTCATCAGGTCAAATGGTGTCAAACATGAACAAACTCAATGTGACCGAATGAGAAAAATGTGACAACATGTGACAAACCATTGTGAAACGTGGCACAGAATCTGAAAGATATGTCCTTGTTGCTGCAACATCTTGAGCAAAGAAGAGACATGATAAAAACATAAAACGCCGTTCTCTTTGCCTTTATGAAAGTGGTCAAAACAAGCATCACTGGTGATTGGTTTCGAGATTTTCGAGTTTCTAAGCGTGTCTCCAAAATCCAAGGTGCATTTTCAGATGAAAGACGCGCTCAACTTATATATTGGTTGTAACCCCCGTCAACTAGCACTACTACAAAAACAGGACGAACGCAGCAAACATAGGTGCCTCGTTCCTTGCGAATCAGACTTGCAATCACATACGTTCCAGTTGCTTGGATGTTTCCCTGTGTTTTAACACTGAATGGTCTTGCGACAACAAATCTGGAAACCTATTGTGTGGCAGCGATTTCTGCCTGTCACTTTGTTTGCGTTATCTGCTATTTGTTTTCACCACCCGACCTGAATGTGCAAGAACCGGTCTGACATTGCGGCAACTAATGGGCTAGCAACGCGGCATGGGATTCAGCGCACGTTTGAACTTTGAGCCCTACTGGCAGAGGCAGTTCAGCATCTGCAACTGACAACATAGCTCCATATAGTTCCTCATGGATCATAATCACCTTCGAACCTTGATCAAAAACAGTTTCGGCACCAAATGACTATGACGATTAAGAGTCAAAATATGTCAAAATATCAAAACGCAAACCGATTAGCACACAATGTCCCTGCCGGCCTTGTTCTCAGCTTGACAAGATATCGAGCCGACATGTTTCGCTATACAGGGCGGCACTTGACGCTGGAGCGTGTTGGCACAAACTTTCAGATTCTGTGCGTGCTCCGCGGCCACAATGCACTAGTTATTAGTTCAATGACATGTTTTTATCATCAAACATCAATCACTCATATATTTAGTATATATATATATATGTATATATAATATAATATGCATACACACATTGCAGCTGGATACTTTGCGATTTTGATGTTGGATGTTGGGCCATGGCCCTGGCAACAAGTGGCACCATGAAATAAAAGGAAAGGTAAAATTGGAAGAAACTGGGCAAACACTCTCACTATCTCTCACTGGCACATTGGTGCGGTCCAAGTAGATTCTTCTTTTTGGTATATTTTGGAGGATTCTAAAAACATGTTTGTAGGTTTTTGGTGCTTGCTGACAACATCCCTGGCGGAATTTCTCTCCTAACGTGTCTGGCGTAAGGTGTTCCAACATGTGAGCAAAAAAACGCAGTTGCACAATAGCAATGTAATTTCCCACCATTTGATGTCATGTACTCTCATGTCACAAACATATTGCTTAGCATCCCCAGGACATCGTACAAGAATAGAAACCAAAACCGCGCCAATTGTTGACAGAAAACTCCATACGATTTCAAAATTTAAAAGTGATAGAACGATGGTGGTCAGTCACATTTCCTGGCACAAGCCCAGCTGTGACAAAGTCCTCCAATTTTTTGTCACGTGACACTTGTGACACTTGTGACACCGAGTCCTCAACATCTCAAGTTTCTGCTTCAGGAAACTGAGCCGTTTTTTTCATCTCTTTGGACTGAGCAGCACAAGGTTTTCAATGTGCTGTCTAAACTAAATGGAAACCTCTACGGGCTTTACAATTTTTACCCCAAAGGGCCCCTCGATATCTAAGGTCCTATACGGTCCTATCATGTCCTATCAATTCTATCCAGACAGCGAGTCCGATCGATTCTACACTTGAGAAGCCACTGGGTTTGCCTGCAGCCTCAAGATGCACCGCAAAGCCAGTAGACAAGTCGGCTTGTGATCGGGACATGTTGGAAAAGTTTCTGGACCTAAAATCCTGAAGAATATTGAAAAATAAAAAATGTTCCAAGACGCCTCCAGTGATCCAGGCAGCTTTTCCACGTGGGATCCTTCAAATCCTTGGCACATGGCGTAGGCTTAAACTCCAAATGCACAAAGAAGCGCTCATAGCAAGCAGTTGACACACAAGATCCATGCTCCTGTTGTTCACATTTGTTCACATCCTGCAAGAGCAGCTCACTGAAGCCAATTCAGTTGCTGACGCAGAACCAAGCAGCTGCATAATGGCTCACTTGGACCGCATCCTCACACGTGTCACACGACTTGCTATGCAGAGGCTGCCTGATCTTTCGGCAAAGTTGTACATCCAGCTTGGAATGATGCAAAATGATGCAAAGTCGGCTTCAAACATTCAGGTCCTCCATAAGTAGACCATGTCCAGACTCCGGCAGCATGCAACAGGACACCCCACGAGGTGCAAAGAGCTTCCTCACCTGAGGCATTGATGATAGAAATTCGCAGGTCAAGTTCTGATTAGAAAGCCACCAATCAGAATATCCAGAATAGTAGAAGAGCATAGGAGAGTGTACAAGACGATTACAAGACGATTACAATACGTTCATCATGTCTTGACGGCCCTCTCATGTTCTGTCGTGCCTCGTGCTCTGCCTCGCTGTAGGGAACGGTGCAATCACCTCAAAATTTGCCGAAACTTCAACACAAAAAGCGGTTTGGTGCGGTTTGCTTTGACCTTCTGTTGCGTTGCACAGAAAAAATCAAATAAGTGAGTCCATATGAGTCCATATGAGTCCATATGAGTCCATATGAGTCCATGATGCAGTGTTTTCAAGACTTTGTGCCCTGCTATCACCCCAAAGGAATAGCACTGGAGTCCTCCCTTTGGCCAAAGCTTCATAGGAGTCCTAAGCAGCTAAGCAATGTTCAGCACGTCAACTGGTTCACTTTGAACTTCCAAGTCCTTACATATATCTTTGCCATACATATCTATATACAATTCTATACATATGAAGGACTTGTGCGCAAGAAATGTGCTATGCCCTCATAGGCTGTACCTTCGCTGTCCTGAAAGTCTTCACACCACAATGGCATACGGCGGAGAACTCGCAAATAGACGTTCACCTGGCCACGTCTTCGGTTGACATTCTTGTAACACAAGAAGAAAAACTTGAAGGATTTCCATTTCCAATAACTTGCCAATAACCTTAATATGATGGTGTGGAAATTCTTGCATTGCATGAACCTGATTGAAACGAACCTGACTGAAACGCACTTTCGGTGTTATCTGCCTTCCAAAGTTTATATGCTTGGTTTGCGACGTACACCCAAGAATCCTCGTCTCCAACAACTTGCCTATACTTGCCTTGAGATCTTTCGCGAAGGAATTTGTGAGAATAGATGTTTGCAGAGCATAAAAGTGGAAGCCACTTTAGCTTTGAACATCTTTGAAAAGCGTTCAAGAACTGAAAATGGGCGCTGCTCTTTACCACATGGGCGAATTCATCACCTATACTCTGTTCACACGGGTCCTTAACAAAGAAGTCGGTAGCGTTTCCCAGGGCCCCCCCCGTTGTACTCTGGCTCATAATCTGTGCAACTTCTGTGTAATGCTAACTTTCTGACACTTTTTGACTTGTACCCTGACACAGAGGTGCTAGTTTGTGCCCTTGAAACTCTGACACTTTTACTCCTTTTACTTTTCAGCCACTGGTTCCTCTGTTTTCGAGGGTGCATGACCGCTGGGCTCCAGAGGAGTCGGCAATGAGTCCGAGAAATCATTGTTTAGGTTCTTGGGAATAGACTCGAATAGACTCGAATAGACTCAAACAAAACCATCCAAATGCATCCAAATGCATCATTGCAGGTTTGCAAACTGAAACACTGATCACGTGCAAAGTCAAAACTGCTTTGCTTTGATAGACACCTGCACGTTCAACGGCTGAATGAAATCCGCCTTGTCTTCCTATTAATTAAGTTATTAAGATATATAATACATGTTATTTTGGGGTTTGAGGTCAAGAACAAAAACAACAATAATATCTTATAATCTCTTTCAAACATCAGGGCCAAAACTTGGCCAGGGGTGCCGACCGATGAAAATTCCACAAGAATCGCTCGCCTCGGCCAAGTTCCCCGACGTCCATGTGAAGAGATGTGAAGAATCATTTATATAAGCAAAAAGAATGGAAGTCCACGAGGAAAAACTTCGAAAGCGGATTTCAAACCACAGGCTCACATCACTCACAGGCTCTGAACATCTCTGAGATTCATAAATCGTTGGACGAGACACCGTTTTCACGGCTCACATCCTTGAACTTCACAGGTTCTCGAACGTCAAGCTGCAGGGCAATGAGTCACTACAACAGCTGGCGAACGGGGAGCAATCTTGAGTCAATTTTCTTAGCGTGTTGTGTTTTGTATCATGGTGTGACACAAGTGACAGCGACCTCCACATCCTCCACTGATATTATCTTAAAGTCTTATGGTCATCTTTTGAGATACCTTGAGGACCTTGAGGCTTGGAAGCTGATTTGCGCCTCAAAGCGATTCGCCAACTTGTCTCCCCTGAGAGATCGCTTTACACAGCCTGTGCAGCCAAACTGAACACATCCAAATCAGATGCCGTAAGAGGCTGCCACTTCAATGAGAAAACGATAGAACTGATGTCTGTTCAGTTTTCAACCGGTAGCAAATGGTAGCAAGATTCCAAACTGACGTACGGATTCCGCTCTATAAAACTAGCCATTCTTCATCCAAAGTTCCAGCTTGAAATTCCCAGAGCCAAAATGCCGAGAACTCCTAATTGAAATCTCGTCTATTTGATCAATCTTTTGAGATCGTGGAGGTCAAAAGACGATAAAAAGGTCTACAACATGATGTTATTACCATCTTACACAGATGCAGGACAAGGTCTTTTTTTGGGGGGCATTTCATGTTTGCAAAGCACATTATGACCCAGAACTTCTATGGAACGTGTCTTGCATTGTCTCCATTTATTGTTCAAAGCACAACCATGCACAAAGAAGCTGGGTGTAATCAGTCCAGCATGTCCAGCAACATCTCCCAGACAGGCGGAAATCTCCAACTATTGCGTTTCCCGTTTCTATCATTGTGGTGTGACAATTATTTTTGGATCATGTTTGCAACCAATCCAGTGCCAACAAATATCAACAAATGGGGTTTTTGATGGTTTTTGTCGAATATGATTCCATATGGCATGATATGTTGAATCGGCCATAGCAAACCTAGGGATTGAAGGGATCTCCGACCAAGGCACAGCTGCAGCAACAGGCCAAGAGCGTTGCAGCAGCAAGAAGGCAACCTCCGCTGAACAGTAGATCCATGAGATCCCTTGCGAATTTGTTACTTTTCGGATCTTTTAGGTGGGATAATGTGGGATATCAGTGATATCAAAAAAAACAATGATTACATTGGATCTCATTCTGCGGCGTCTTGTCGGGTTCGGAGGCCTCCAAGGCGCGTTCTCAGGCAACCAAACAGCAGCGGCTTGCAGGGTGTCTTCGACCTGTTCACTAAAATGCAAAACGACGAAACTCAGAGCTTGGAACACTTGAGGAATTTATGTTTTTTATTTTTTATTTTTATTTTTTCCTGACTTTCTGAAATTTTCTTGAGACGACGTGATGCACGACGTACGGTGGAGTTCCAGCGCGGCGCGCCGCGCCTCTGCAAGAGTCCGCCTGGTGCCACCAGAAGTAATCGTCGGACCCTGAGCAAAGATCAACATGAAAAAAAACATGTATTAATCATCTTTATTAATTATTTTATGATTTGTTTATTCATGTTGAAAATAATACAATATAATACAATATATAATATATTCATATCATGTATTTGGATCATTCATATCATTCATCCCAGGGTCAAAAAATCCCAAACGATCCATGTGCTGATCCCTTCGGGAGACATTTCCAGCATTGTCGTCAGCACACAGTCCGTCTGAGCAGTTGCAAGTGGCAAACTTTGCAAACAGCATGGCTTGTCGCAGCTTCAACTCTCTGAACTCTTGACGCTCACCAGCTCTGTCGGCCTTTCTGGAAAACGGTTCGTGAATTCCACTGCTATGACCCCACCTCAGAGCTAAAGTTGCTCAGAATGCCAAACATCAACGCAATTCGTCCATAGATGGTTACATAATGTTATATAACATTAACCCCGGGAAAAACATGTTGAATCATTTTAAAACTTCTGCAAGCGCGATAAATACGTGGTTTTCCCATACACCGCTCCAAGAAGCCCATGCTGAAGCCCAGGAGAAAGATCTGTCGGGCAGCATGATTTATGATGATTCATGACTTCACTCTCTTCACTCTCTTCACTGTCTTCACTGTCTTCGCTTACATGCAAATCAAGATCCGTCAAAAAAAAGGTAGATGTGTAGATGTGCTATACCACCCAGATCTTCTGTTTAGGACTTCTCAGAGGGCAATGTGCAGACTACCACAAACACTACGAGTTCAATGAGCTGATGCAATGGTCGCTCTGATGGTATTCTTTCCACCCGCTGCACAGGTCTGGACGCTGCAAAATTGATCAAAATTGCTGTGTCTTTTCTTCCTGAGTGCTTCAGATCTTGTCAGATCTTGTCATCTTGTCAAATCTCAAATCTTCACTTGGCCGTTTGGAGAGTCCAAAATTGCTTCCAAACGCTCGGTGTCCCCGGCTTCAACCGTGATGCCTTTCAGATTCAAAGCTTCGAAGACTTTTCGGAGCTCTTCCGGGTTCGGATGATATGCTCGCAACTCTGCCAAACGACATCCTTTGGGTGAAATGGCTGATGGATGTTCCAAAGGATTCACAGACCAGTCCACAATGAAGGGTACTAAACCTCGTAAGGGCAACTTTTCATATCCCGAGGTGTGATGATCTGCTGCCAACCGCCACTTCAAAGTCTTTCCTTCGGTATTCTCTCGGGAGTAATCTTTGATTGAGCCAATGTCATAGCCCTTTGCCTTGGCGGAAGCCTGCACATCCTCCAACTTTCCATCTGATTGGACGCAGTAGGTAGCCAAGCAAGGCTTGGTGGGACAATCGATGCCAATCCATCGAGCTTCCATTTTTTGTGCTGGGTCAAGAGCCAAGATCTCTAAGTAGACACCGTCTCCCAAGGAAAGCAACGCGTTGTGCGTGCCCAAACCCAAATGTTGTCCTCCAATGCATGGTCGAACACCTGTGAGCGCTTCAAACTTCTCAATGCCTTTATCTACTGAGTCGACACACCACACCAGGTGATCCACTACCAAGGCCGGTGCAGCCGCGGCCTCTGCAGCCATGGCTCTTAAGGCTTCAGTTGCAACGCCAGGTGAATGAAGTGGGTGTAAAGGGAAGCCCGGTGAGCATGCCAAATGATCCAAATGGTACAGCTTGGGCGGAGCGAGCCTTTAAAACACATGTTCATACATGTTCATTGTTTCACATTGTTTCTATATATTTTTGTGTTGTGCAAAATGTATGTTTGCAAAATACTTTGATCTCAGCATCTCAGGTGGGAAGCCATGTCCAGCCAAATGCAGCTTGAAAGTCTCAGTCACAGATGTTGTGACCCAAGGCCAATTGCAAATTGGGTCAAGAAGAGTGAAGAATCATCATTTAGATTATTCAAAATCATGTAGATATATGTAGATCATTTACATCATCTTGATTCAAACATGTCAAACATGTCATTTTTTCATTCAAAACCCATGGCTCTCATCGGCTCTCATCCACCAGGACGCCGCAATAGCACAGAATTTCATCCGCAACGGCGCCTTCTCCGTGGAAGGCACTTTCAGGCCCTCAAGGAGCTTCACCACCTCTGACACTCGGCAAAAGTCTTGAGAAAAGTATTTAACAGTTTAACATGTAAAGTTTAACATGTAAAAAAAAACATGTTTTCTCCCTTGACTTTTCTGGTGTTCGATTCTTGGTCTTCTCCAATCCAATGCTCTGGATCCAGGAATCGCTGATTCTCAAAAACATCACTTCATTGCCACAAATTCCGCCCATGAGAGAAGCTGAAAATAGCTGAAGTACAGCATGTGTCACCCTAACTTTGCACCCCATGTGCTTAGCTTTGACCGAAAAAAAAATGCTGATCCACATCTGCGTAGACCTGATCAACGTAGATCTCAACGTCCAATCGTCCAGAGGGTGAAGCGCTTAGGCCAAATCCATACCTCTCAGCAATTCTCAGCAAGTCTGCCAGTCTGCCGGGGATGAAACATGATGAAACCTTGACCGAGAAACTGGTGCAGTATCGCCTCCAGAAACCATTTTTCAAGTCCATGTCACAATTCTTGAGGCTTGGGCAAATCAAAAACAAGGACTCGAAAGCCAGTTTGTACCAACAATGGCCTGAGATGTGGAAAGAGAAAGTGCAAACTGCAAACTGTACTTACAAAATTCCTGACTGCCATTGTTTCTTGCTTCTGGAAGCTGCACCGAAAAATCATGAACGCTCATGAACGTCTCTCAAAAACTAAGCAATCGGTGTTGATCCTCCCATTTGAGAGCTATGGGTATTGGGCAAAAACAAGGTGGCTTGGCCACGGATTTTGAACCATGCGACCATGAGACTTGTCATGTGTCAACCATGCGTCAACCACAACGTGCATGTGCACGTGACGTGCAGCATCAACGTGCATCCGAGTGGCGAGATTTTTGCAAAGCTCGACACCGAGCCATTCAGGCCGTGAAGACAAACCACCAGAGGCGCAGCAGAATTCGCAGAATTCTCAGCATGTGGCAGATGTGGCCTTAGGGAAATCAGCGACGCGACGAGCAGAACTCACAGAACTCACAGAACTCACATCTTGGCGCTGTTTTCTCACATTTTATCACCAAAAAACACTGTTTTATGCAGCTTTGCATACTTCAAAACATCAGAACCAATGCAATGACTCTGGCGCGGATCCCAAATGACTAAAATCCGGTCTCTACGTCTTTGTTTCGTCCTGCCAGAGGCATCGCCTGTGCTGTCCAAGTGGCTCATGCAGTTGGTAATTCACTTCCCCTTTTGGAAGACGCAAACCTTGCAACAAAATTGAGACCTGTCAGACCTGAAACCTGCCATGAATGGGTGATGTTTGCCAAATGATTGGTCTTTGAATGGTTCAAGTAAGTTCCACACATTCACCACGAAGAAAAGGAGAAGACTTCGATGGTGGAGAGCATGGATTGGAATGCGGATCTGGCCGTCGCGGTTGAGGATGCTCTGCACTTGCAGTCCTTTGCACAGACTTGAGAAATCGAAACTGGGCGACCAGCCAAAGCGGAACATACATGGTGCATCAAACATACACCAAATATCAACAGTTTCCACGGTTTCTCAACATGTCACAGAACTTTTCGTCAAGTCACGGTCCAAAGGCCATAACCCAAGAAGCACATGTGATAAAAATGGCACGAATGAATTGGCACAGCTCGAAGGATCCACGAAAAGAAAGAGTCTGCGTCTTCCAGTAACTATATATGATGTATTTTGAATGTATTAGTTGTTCATCAACTCTTTGACATTTGTTGATTTTGTTGCCTCCGTCGCAAATAGTTTGAAGAGTGCTGAGCAGGGATCAAGATGCGCAGGCCTGACTTGATGTATGTGTGTTGTCTCTGTGTTTGTGTTTTCATATGTTTCCATGATCGTTTTATGTCATACTAACTTTGCGGCTCTCAAGCGTTCGGTCTAGGCCATGGTGCTGAAGGCATCATTTAACCATCACTTGAGCCTGCATCTTGCATCATCTTGAGCATCTCGAACAAGTCGTGCACAAAACGTCAACATTCAGAAAATAACTCTCTGACTGCGACGGCGGCCCGACTTCGAAAGGAAAGCTGTCGCTGATCTTTTTCCATCGAGTTTGCGGCTGTTTTTCTGACAACTTCTGTCGAGTTTGGGGTGAATATTCGGTGGGATATGTGGGATCGGACAGAACTTTCGCTCGAAGGTTATCTTGAGCAGAATGCGCGTAGCCACAAGCAAAGGGGCTTCAATGCTTCAACAATCCTGGCCTTTGATGTTTTTGATTTCCTGGACTTTGTGGGACTCTCGGCAGGCTCTTACATATACCAGCTCTCATTTCTTCAAACCATCCGAAATCACTATGTCGCACTTCTTGCTCCAATCAGCCCTTAAGAGAAGCATATTTAGATTGAACTCGGTGTAAATTTCTATTCCAGGTGCTGTCCGGACCTGGAACTGAACGTCTCGTTGTGTCTCTCCAGGTCTTGTACTCCATGCTGAGTGCACGTCTCAGCACAAACAAAACATGCTGAAGAGCTGTCAAATACCCTGAGGACGACTGAGATCTCACAGTTCGTAGACAATGCTGGCTGAAGATACTGCTGTCTGTTTTAGTCTGCATCAGGCGCCTTGCACCCTAGATCCCGTTCACCTGACCCCATGAAATCTTTTGTCAATGTCGAAATAGCTGCAAGAAAGGCACAAACATAGAGCCAGCACTAAATGTGTCGATGACAAATGTTTAATGTCCTTGAATTCTTCATATATTGAGTCTTGGTCAAAACCTGAGTTTCATTCTCTTGTGCTACAATGGGTCTTCTGCGGTCGCTTCCGAGACCTTCCATTCCTGCGAAAGGTCTCATACCAAATGTCATCAAATGTCTCATACCATGTCAGCGGCGCTGGATTCATTTCGGGTGCGCTTTCAATTTTCGGGGCACTTTCTGCAAGCTCCGCAGGGTTTCAACGGGTTTCACTTCAGGGGTATCTTACTCGAAACTCACCAAATGAATACAAATACATATATCATTTGTTCATTTGTTGCTTCTAAAACAGTATTTGCCCGCTGTTGCAGCAACAATTTTGCAGATCTCGTAGCCCCACTGTTGAGTTTCATCGCACGGTTTCAGCTCAATCAGACATCGCATGCATCTTAATGTCTTAATTTGACTACAAGCAGTAGAGATGAGATGATGTGAAGGGTTGTCCGCGACGATGGCAGGACTTCTTCTGCTTCTTCTTCTTCTTCTTGGAGTTCCCCTCTGATCGGATATGGAGCAGCATTGAGCAGCTACATTCCAGACAGTCAGAGCATGTCCGAAAAATGTTTTTTTTTCACTGCCCACACCTGCGGATGCACCCCGATTCAGAAGCACTTCCCCCCGAATCAGAACCACTGACCTCACAGCTGTGTTTGTTGCTAATCGCCAAAGTCCATGTGAAAGGTGCAATTTGTTCCGTATCAAGTGGAAGATGCATTTTGCGGTTCTTTGCGTTAACACAATGCTCCAAATCTTGGTATGCGCCATATACAGCTGATTAATATGATAATCATACTATATACTAGTATGTCATGTGTCATATGTCAATCTTGCGTGTCAGACTGAGTTGCGAACACTGGGATCAGCGCGCAGAGACTTTGCACCACTATCCAGAACGAACGCTCTTTGCCACAGTTCGGCACGATCCAACGGGCAGAAGTGCCTGGCGAGCGATTCAAACTCTACTCACCATGCTTCCCTGGTTCTTAGACTTGCCATCCACGAGTTTGACGTTTTCTTTGATGGATGGTATTGCTGGGTTCACCAGTAGAAACAGCTGAAACTGGAATGTTGACTGTTATTCACAACGGAACCTTTCCAGCGTCTTAATAAATAGTTCCGAAACTCACATAAACTCACCTGCCAGCGATTCTGGCCCAGGCAGCTAAGGTTTTCATCCATGTGCACCACCCGTGATATTCACTGTTCGGGTAGTTCTGGAGGCTGCATGCAAAAGGCACAGGTGCAAAAGACACAGAACACGATGTTTATTAATTTATTGATGCTTGGTCTCATGATATGTTCAGTTTGATTGGACTGCCGCTGCGAAACACCTTTTGTGACTCATGTTGCCGAAACTTCAAAGAGTGCAAACATAAATGAAAAGTACGGGGAACGCCAAAGAAAAAGTACCTTAAGCCTTAAGCCAAAGCAGAGTTAAGATCAAAGCAACACCATTTCCTGCAGCAACATATCTGGTAGCCAGTTCCACTCACTGTATCTCACTGTCAATCTTTGTTCACGGCCAGTGTTAAATCGCTATTTTCCAAAGCCAACAGAGTCGGCTCAAGGGCGTCCTACACTGTCATTAAAATTTAAAATACGGATGCCGACACAGACCCAATGCATGCTGTAGATGGATCACTGTATGGATTGTCAATCAGACTGTTACTTGTCGTTGCTGATTGACCTGTGCTCTTGGATGGCTTTCTTGGCACGGGTGAAGATTGTAAATGCCGCAAAGACAATGAGAGGAGCAAACACCACAGGTATGACGGCAGCAGCTGCAGGTGAGAGAGCAGCTGCAAAAGTGCACAGACCAGTTGTGGCACCAGCAACAGCGCCTGTGGTTGCAGCTTTTGTGACGACTCGCTGCGCGCACTCTGTGGCACTTATCTCCCCTTTCCGATAATTGACGCTCTCTTCCAAAAAAGCCAAGCTACCTTCCAAAGCTGCTGCAAATCCTGCAGCGTACAACCCACTTTCCAGCGCCTCTAGCTGCATTCTTGAGTTGCAAGCTCCTATTTGCAGCATTGACCGCTTCTAATTCTTCTGGGGTCATGTGAGGTGTGTCTCGGCGGCCCGCCTTGTGGTCATAGTTGCGACCTCTGTTCAACTGGCTGTCTTCAAAAACCATGTTCTCTGCGGTGTTAGGGCCTCCTTGAGCTTTGGCTTCAATGTGCGACGCGTCTCTGGTGGACAAGTAATGTTTGATCTCATCCGTCCCTGCTGCACGAACCGTGGAAGGCACCTTCAAATACAACTTCTCTGCTTCATGCGAAGGCTTGTAGCCACCACGGTAGCGAAAAGACTTTGCCAGCTTGGGGTCTGCTTGAAGAAGCTCTGCGTAAGATAGGGGGTTCGTCGCCGCCAAATCAGCCATTGCAGGGCCCCAGAAAGCACCCACGCCCCAATTTGAACATGTCGATGGTGGATAGCTGCTGCTTCGACTGCTTCGCAGCCAATCTCCGCCAAACTGGCTCTCCACAAAGCGCGATCCCAAGTCGACCCCTCCATACACAAACTGTGCACCATCTACTTGGTCTCTGATTGATACGGCAGCAGGAACTAAGCATGCAGCAACTGTTCCGTTGCTTGGCATAGTCGCTGCGCCCAAAGAGCCCAAACTCGAAATTTCCTTTTCAAAGACATCCAGAGGTATACGCACACCTTGCAAAACCATTTCGGACAACGTGCTAGTGAAGCCTCCATCCAGCCACTCTCTGATGGCACTCCTCAATCCCTGAGAACTTGCGTGCAGGTCGCGAGAGAACATTTCGACCAACTGATTGATGGTGTGTTCATCGCGCTTTCGAGCTCTAGAAGGTGCATCTCTAATCGCATCGTGAAAGACATGATGAGCTTCAATCTCTCGTCTGGTCGCATGAGGGTTCTGAGCACACAAATTCTCCAAAATCTCAGCCCTTGCTTCGACTTTGTGAGGCCACTCTGGGATTTGTTCGCGCAATGCCTGCAACCTGGTTGGGAAGTTGACCTTGTGGGCTTCGCATCTTGCAAGAACCTACGGTGCTGCAGGAGCTCTCGAGCAACACGTTGCATTTTTGGAATTTCTGCCAGCCAACCAAATTCAGGAAAGTACTGTGTCAGATTGCTCATGCACAGAGTCATGGCGCGAGCAAATTGGGAGGCTTCGCATTCTGGAGGGGCATCTTCCAAAGTGTCTTGGTGATTTCCTTTCTCATCAAAATCAAGGGGATGAGCGCGGACACTGATGACAGGCGTGTCCAGGAAGACTTCTTCAACATCACCCTGAATTCTTTGAAACCGCACATCACCAGATTCAAACCAAAGACGATGCAAGGCTCTCCTGGAAGTCTGGTTCCTAGCATGGATTGGCTTCAGAAGGTCGACCAAATATTGCGGCAGTCGACAATGCAAGCCGTCTGCAGGTCGACACTCAAACGTCAATGCGTTCACTTCCACCCCCATGCTGAGCTCCTTCATGGTGTAGTCACAATGGTGCAGCAAGCGCACTGTTTCAACTGCACCCGTTCCAAAACAATGTCTCTGCTGCTGCAGAGCATGATGCCGAATAGGCCCACAATCTTCTTGAAAAGTAGGCTGGTCAAGGCTAAAGAACAGTGGTCCTTCCAAGGTCTCCTGAGGCAAATTGAACACCTCCTTGAAGATCTCACTGAAAAGAGCGGCAGGAAGACCTCCGTGAACGTCCTCAATCATAAACTCAACGTGCCCAGATGAGTGTAGGCAAACACCATTCAGGCGTTTGCCCATTGGAAGTGGGATCTTTGGGGCATGCAACTGAGATTGCTTGTGCAACAAATGCCGCAGCTCGGTCTCGATTTCAGGCAGGGGCTCTAATCCTGTCGCGCGGTGTTGTTCTTCAAATGCCTGCTCAAGTTCATCCACAATCTCCTCATGCGTCTGACTGTTGAGGCCATTTTGGAGAGAAAGCTGCTTTCTGCGTTTTTTGACTTTTTGCAGCAGCCGAACAATTTGCCTGTTCATTCCTGGCTCTGACCGTCCCAATCGCCCCAACCGCCGAGCTAATTGGGGCACAGGGTCTGTGGTAAGCCGCCTTGTTTTCAGCTTGTCTAAGAGCTCATGGATCCGCAGCATTGTCGCATCTGCTTCTACCTGTCCATCTTTGCTTTCCCCAGGCGTACGCCACCCGTGATCATTCCTGCGAGCATAGGTAGCGTGTTGCAATTGCTGAGCAGATTGCCGTGTCAGGCCATGGTTAGCAAGTGCTGCATCCAATGCTTTGAGGCGCAATGACTCCGCATTGGACTCACCTTTGTCACTCTGAAAGCAGCTGACCCCTGTCGCATATGTTTCAAAGCGAGCATGCTCAAGCACAATAGGTGGAACAGAAGACTGTGCTTGAGATGCTTCTGTTGAAGCCAAGCAATCAATGTAAGCAACGTGCAACTTGCCCAGTGAGCAATCCAGCAACGAAGCTTCACAAACAAGGATGTGAGAAGGAACACCTACAGGGCAAAGTCTCACAGAGTAGAGCCAATTCTTCATAGCACCTTCAAACTGCCGAAGGTCTGACTCATCTCCCAACTTTCCAGCAGACATGTTGCAGTTTAGCAAAGAAACTGCCTGCCAAAAAACAAAGGCCTGCATACCTGGATGGAAATGCTTTGCTGCAATAGAGCACGTGTCTCGACAAATCAAGAGGATGCATTCTTTGATGGCATATTGAGCAGACTCTTCCAGCCGTTCCTTGCTGGCTAAGCCAAGGGCACAATGCAGCCACAAGGCAGCATTCTGAAAGCACACGACGGTCTCAACCGTGGTTTCGGCAACTCGGCTGAAATCAATGTAGCGCAAGGCTGTAAGATGGCTGTAAGGTAAGCTTGGTGGAAACTCCTGTCAGCTTTCCATTCCTCCAACACTCTCTCCTCAAGCTTCTCAAGCGCTCTTCGGTGTCCTGTAGTCTGAAGATTTGGGTTAAGAGCTTCTGAGAGGGCGGGGACAAAGCATTGCCCTTGCGACCCGCACGGAATGCAGAGAAACTATCCTTGTGTATAGTCTGGAGCCAGCCACGCGTTGCCATGCTGGCAGCCAGCTTTCCAAGAAAATTGTAGATGCTATCCATCTCAGTATCCCCAATGCAACTCCACAGTACACTGTTCACCGCACCCAGCGTTTCAGCAGGTTTCTCCGCGCAGGAAACTGCTACCTTCAGAAGCTTCTGCATCCAGCCGAATCCTTTTGGCGCAACTTCTTTGAGAGCTGAGAAAACAGCGTCCTGAATGACCGAATCTTCCACCAAGCCCATGCACACCAAATCCGACGCTGAGGAAATACTGTCCTGTACAGCACTTCTCGCCTCATTCTTCTTGGAGACCAGTGCATCTATCTCCGCTTTCAAGCCATCATCCTCAACGCACAAACCTTGGTGCGCAAGGTCATGTTCTTTTTGCTTCAGCCTCAGGATCAAGAGCTTTTCTTGCCACTTTCTAAGCTCCGCCGTCGAGACGGTTGATTTCTCAATTGCTGAGAGAAGCACCTTCCTGCTTGCATTTAAAAGCACATTGAAAAGTTCCTCTGTTTCAGCCTCAACTTTGATGCCCTCACATTCGACGCAAGCTGCAGCTTCCATGGCCGCATGCGCAACTCGCAAAAAGTACGCCCCAAGGCCGTCCAAACTGTCTGTGCTTTTTGTGGCAGCAAGAACCTTCAAGCTTTTGCCCATGATGCGCAAGTAGATACCTGACTTGGCAGGCAATCCTGCGCATGCCAAGGCAGCAACTTGGCTTGCTGAAACACATGCCACATGAAGCGGATCCCTCAAGCAATCCTCCTGCGTCAGGTCTTGTGCCTCAAGGTCTTGTGCCTTAGCCACAATTCCTTGGGAATGCACCGATTGTTGCGCAGCTAGCGGCGCCAACAATCCCACCGCATCAGCAAGTAAACGGGCAAAGCCCGGGACTGCGCCCTGATCCGTTACTGCATGAAGGTTCTTTGGCAGTACCCGAAGGCTTTTGAAGGCCCCTGACTGCTCGTTCCAAACACGAACCACGCGTCGTATCCTCCCATCACCATCGGCCACCATTCCTCCAAGGGTGCCGTGAAGACCATTGCAACTGGAGTCCTTGGAAAGGCCATGAATCTCCACCAGGGCATTTCCTTCAGGACGAGTGGAAGAAATCTATCAAGGAGCTCCTGCTTCAAGTTCAGCTGCGGCCCCAGATCCGACGAAGTGCGAAGCTATGCGAAGCTCCCATGCGAGAACAAAGTCCTCTGACAGTCTTGCGAAGTGCCGGGGAGATCACAAGCTTGGCACTCACAACCGCCTGTTCCTGGCAGCCCTGCTCAACAAAGCTGCTACATTCGAAGCATCCACATGCACAAAGAGGGACAGCAAGCGCATCAATGGTTGCATCTTGATCAGAAGCAAACTCAGCAGTCTTCTCTTTGGAACTCAAAATTTCAAAGGCTTTGTTGAGCTCTTGCATGAATGCTGTGTTTCCACCACGGTCTGGATGGTGCAAGAGGGCCTTTGATCGATAGGCTGACTATGGCTGACTTAATTTCTTGGAATGATGAGTGCTGCCCCACACCAAGAATCTTCCGCAAGTTGTCCATGGCTTTGTAGATGTCAGCGCGAACACAACCTAGGAACAAATCAGCCCACTGGGCCGTTCATGCTCATGCGCTGAAGATGATGGCAGCGGCAATGCTACAAACTCAAGACGTCCAACTTCTTTTGACTTTCATCATTGCAACGATCTCTGTTCATGTCGCTGTGGCGTCTCAGCCCTTTTCACAGGAAACAGCATGGTCTCCTGGGCATCCTAAAATGTCAGCTCAGAGACGGACAGACCTCGCAGGCACATCCAGCTTTCCAGTGAACACATCCGACAAAAAATCAACGAAGCAACAAAAAGCACATGATCTGATTTGTCTGCTCAGATGGATGGACCCCAACAAGAATCTTAGGCCGTGGAATCATTCAAAATTTAAAGAATGCAGATTATTGCAGATTGGAATGATTGGAATCAAGTCTGGACATGTCTGGACAATCTAACGTACCTAACAGCTGGCTCTGAGGTCTGGACAATCATCCACAGCTCAGCTCGTTTCCATCGCCTCCCAGGGAACGATGCCAGGACGGATGCCAGGCATTTCCCACATATTTCGCATATTTCCACCCTGTTCCAGTGCACTGCCTTGGCATTGTGAGACCCTGAATCTGGCTGAACTGCCTTTTGCATCCTTTTGCATCCTGGGTCCAGCCTGTGCCGCTGCAAGAAAATCTCTGACACCACAGCATGTGCTCAATTCTATGAAACTTCCACTGCAACTCGAAAGAACACCCCGTTGCGACTTGCAATTTCATAAGCTGACTATAGTTTGTTGATGTTTGCCAAAAGACTGCAGGAGGTCTTTGGATGGTTCGAGTAAATCCCGAGCATTCACCAGTTTGCCATTCTGCGAGGCGACTCTTTTCTTTTGGCTTTTCAATCTCATGAATGAAACACATCCGAACAGTGATGACAAATTAAGTGAACTTTGCTCTGCGCTTACCAGCCTGTTGGTACATCAGTTAATAAAACCCTTGATATTAACATCTTGGTGATTGTCTCCATCCGTTATTTTCAATAGGTCTATGTGGTTCAACATTGATCGATATGTTACCCTTGTTGTTTTGTTCTAGAACGTCTGAGTCTATATCAAGATTTGATGTTGGAATATTGACATTGTCCCAGTTGAGTTCGTCCTTGAAACTTTAGTAGTGGTACATTCTGTTTGGATGACCTTTGACATAGACTTTACATACACACCGAATGGAATACTTAAAGCATTTGTCATCCTAATTTTGGATGTTGATACACGCTCGTTTGAGTTTCGACCATTCAGGTAATTCAATGAACCACCACAGGTTGGGTCATACCTGTCATCATAAATGAATTTTAGTTTGTCAATCTACAACCAATCCGCTCTCTGACATCTCCATCCTGTCAGTCGCGATTTGATTAAACCTTTCAGTGATTTCCTCTTCGATGGTGATGTTGTATCTTCTACTTTTGATTGCTTCTCTGAATTTCTCTGACATCTTCCTTAGTCTTGTTAACTGTTCTTACTCTTCGTGGCAAAGACCTAATATGACTTTCATACCCTCGTGTTCTCGCAAATACTCTTTGAGTTTAAAAATGTTTAAAATCTTGGGAAGTCTTGGTTAATTTGAGATACTGAAGTGCCTGCCTTGAGCCTTGATGTCGGAGTAGGAATTGACACAACGATTCTTCGTCGGATTCCGTCGGTGGTTGCTTTGAACATCTTTGAACATCTTTCTGAACATCTTTCTGAACATTTTTCTGAACATATCTGAAGATCTTTAAGCCTTTCTGAATTCTTCTGAATTCCGCTTTATAGTGCTTTGATGTGCCTTGTCAAGATCTCATGCCTCTCGAAACTTCCTTCAGTTCATACTTTGTAGTCCTGTCGGCCTGTCGAGATTGTCGAGATTTGAACTTTGTTTTCAACCCCTTTGAAATTGATTTTCCACTTCGAAGTTGTAGGTGTTGTTGTCTATCTTCAATTTCTTGGGTTCCTGTCCATTCCGTTTCAATATCTCACCCTGTTCGGATGACAAAAGGTAATCTAAACAATCTGCTGTTGAAGCTCCATTACAGTATATTCAGTAACTCTGTATACTGTATATTCTATATTTACTATTTTGTTTGTGTTATTATTATTGTTATTATTATTGGTTGATGTTTTTAAAAGTAGATTTTGAGTTTGATTTGCCTGTGGAGGATGTTGAGGTTGAGTTTCAACAATAAACATGTTCTTCCAACCTTGTATCCTCTACCATTCTTCTCCTTACTATTTAAGGTCGCATTTCTTTAAGTAGTTTTGGGGTCTCAAGGAGTGTTCAGGTAACCGGTTGCTGCCTGAATTTCAGCGTAAGATAACGTAAGAACAACAGCGCTGACTCCATTTTTGTCCGCAATTTTCTCAATTATTTTCAATTCCATTTTTTTGCATTATTTCTACATTTTTTCAAGATGTCGACATCCTAGAACAAGCGCAATTCGACAGCACAAATCACAATGTCTGACAAAAATCCTCAACCAAGATGAACATCTGCCGCATCTGCCGATCATGCTAAGCCCAAGACGGCGCTGTCACCTCCACCTTCCAGACCTAGCGGCAGCTGCATGCGGCGCACGTGCGCGCGTAGCGATCAGCGGCTCTCAACACAACTTCAGACTGACTGCAAGCATGAAAGACATTGAAAGATGAAAAAGATCCCTGTATTCCCCAGTCCATGCAGTGCGAGGCCTTAGATCATCTCAGATCTACGTTGCTAAGACGTTTTTTTTGCATCCGCTATGGACGTCAGGGCAGCACAGCTTTCTGCGCATTAAAATCATTAAACATATTAAAAAAGCAGCGTGGCGTGATTTAAAATTTATGTAAAATTTTTATATATTTCTCGATGCTCATCGCTGCATTGGTCTACATAAGACCCAAAGCACAAACGTCACAGGGCGGACTTGCACCACACCGTTGTCTCTGGCTGAAAAGACAGCTTCTTTTTGAATGCACTAGCGCAAGCGATGTTGTGTTGCACGATATCCGTCCTGATCTGCCTACAGCCTGAATCTTTTGCAAACCTTTCACCCGCTTCCACGTAGAAAGTCAACAATCCCATGTTGCGAGCATTCTTTGCCGCAAAAAAGAAATGCAGCCACAGGTATGCATGCTCTTCATGCGCGTAGCTGCTCTGTGGGCTTACAGCTTGGTGATGCGTCTTGAAGAAGATTCCGCTGCCCAAGTGGGCAGTTGAATGGTTCGCAACGAGAACCTTCCCGGGCAAACTCCCAGTAAGGATGCGATCAATGACCAGCCGAACTGCCAAGACCTTCTCTTTCGAGACTTCTCGGAGGCCATAGACTTCTGTTTGCAGCTTGCCTGGGTGGCAAGCACGTTAATGGACATTGTCCTAGTATACTAATACCGGGACCCTATGGAACCCATTGTTGAACCTTAAACGATAGGAAATTACACAAGTCGACAAGGCCTTGAATATCTTGAAGCTGTCTTTGTGGAGAAGGCCCTAAGCATAGTTGCCAAACAGGGGTGGGGCATAAATGGTCACAAGGACATGACTTTGTAAGTCTTTACAGCTTATGCGTCACCCGATGGCCGAAAGCCGGGACTGAATGAAAAAATTGGATATGATTGGAGTCTGTGTGGCCTAACACTGTCTCTGCACTCTTGACTACAACCCGCTCAATATATGTCCGTTTTTTATGTGTTTCTGGCTATCTGCAAAAATTTAAAGCTCCTGAGCAAACTTGGGGGTCACGTTGTTTTTTTTTCCGTGCGAGGAGCACAGAGAATAAAATCATGTACCTACAGTATACATGTTTTGCCTATGGCCTACGGTATTTCAAAATATAGTCACATGTTCAGTTCAGAAATTGCAAACATCTAACCGCTTGTGGCAGAGCCAGGGTTCTCGACGTCCTGGCCTTGTGTTGGGCTATCCGTTCCATTGCCGATATGCAATGAACCAAATCAGATTCCACTAAAACCATCTAAAACCAATCTACCAGTCTACCAGAACTGGAAACTGCAAACTTCTTGGAAAACCTGAAAAACTTTGGGTAAAAACGGTGAAAACCGTCTGCAAATGGAAGTTGCAGTAGTCCGAGAGAACCATGTTTACCATGTCCGCCTCATGGGGCTGTAGTTCTCGCAGCGCCGCATTTGCCGGTGGAGGATCGAGTTCCACAGACAAACTTTGGACATCCACCAAACCGAACCTTGCAAAGTACAGCTTCACGTCTGAAGAAATGTACATCAACCTGGAACGGGATGTTTTCTAAGTTTCTCCGCCGTTTCCCGTTTTCGTCAGGTTTACTGTTTAGATTCGAAAGGAACAACTTGGAGATAAATGAAAATTGTCAAAAACAGACTTTGCAAAAATTTGCGGGATTGCAGTCTGCATTCTTCTTGTGATTGTGGGACCCTGCCGCCTGTAATCCAAAAACAACTCCTCTCCAGCACCAACTGGGCGCGTAGTCAGGATGTGGCAAGTGCCTTTTTGCACCACTACCCGCACATTGGCCCTTACAGAGTGGTTGATGAAAGCCGAAGAAGACGCAATGTACCTTAGCTTGTTCCAAGACTACCCCGTGAGCTGGTTGCTCTTCACAAAGTCTGATTAATTTGTTTCGAGCAATTTTTCTCCCCTTTCCCCAAAAATACATATACGACCTACAACTGACATTCCACATTATGCTGGGGTGGGTGGGCTGCGAGATGACATGGAGTATGCCGGGCATGGGGTACATGAGAAATACCACAACAACTACCTGTGAGAGCGTCCGTTGAATGAACGCCCCTGGTAATGCATGCAAGGCACCTTTCCAGAACACAGTTGGAATGTCAGTGGGGTGTAGAGCAAATCAGAAGTTCGAACCATGGCATGCCGTTGCGTGTTCAACTGCATACAAGTGAGTTATGATATGAACAATAGTGAGTTACTAGGTAAAAAAGAGTGACTTGATAAATATTAACAAGAGTGAGTTACAAAAATGTGCGTTGTTATATGAAGAATAACGCGTTGTTAAAAACAACAACGAATTAATATGAAAAACAACATTGTCGTATATGCAAGGTTGACGTATTAAGGGTATATAGTGCGTTCTTAAAGTTCAACAAAAGTGAATTACAATGATAATAACAACAAACAAATACTATACACAAACAAAAACAACGGTGAATTACAAGTAGTTCCCGGGCAGGAAGTTTCAAAATTGAAACGTTTATAGCCTATAGAGCGGAACAAAGGCTGTGCCTATAGGTGACAGGCAAGCCCCCGGTGCTTCGCAGCAACAAACTCTTGACTTGTCAATCTGATGCCATGTTTTTGAATGTCGAACCTTTTCTCATTTCATACGATCTCATCGCGTCGCAGCTTCTCTTGAAAATTGTTCATTGCATCCCACTGTCACCGCAGTCGGTGTCATCGCATCTCATCTCAACTCATCTCATGTCTTCTCAGTTTTTGCACCTCATCTCATCTCATGTCTTCTCTCCCTTTCTCAGCTCCTCTCAGCTGATCACAGCTGTTCTCATCTCTTCTCATGTCACCTGAGACCCTTCACAGCTCTTCTCAACTCTCCGCAGCTTATGTCAACTCATCTTATGTCTTCTCATCTCTTCTCTCCTTTTCTCACATCTTCTAAGCTCTTTTCACATCTCCTCAGCTCTCTTCTCTAGCTCAAAACCTGCCCCAAAAACGGATCTCGGCGAAAGCAAGCGACCCCTACGCTTTCCACAGAGAAGATTTGAGACGAAGCTTTTACACATAGCAAGCTTTACAGACGCTCTTCGCAGAGACAGAGAAACTTTTACACAGAGACAGAGAAGCTTTTACACAGAGAAAACTTTTACACACAGAAACTTTCTCACAGAGACAGGCAAACTTTTACAGAGAGACGAAGAATATTTACTCATAGAAAGCTTTTACGCAGAGCAAGCTTTTACACAGAGAAGCCTTTGCATAGCGAAGCTTTTACACACAGCGAGCTTTTACACAGAGAAGCTTTTACACAGAGAAGCTTTTACACAGAGAAGCTTTTACACAGAGAAGCTTTCACACAAAGAAGCCCCTACACAGAAAAGTTTGTACACAGAGAAGCTTTTACACACAGAGAGCGTTTACACACATAGAAGCATTTACACAGAAAAGCCTTTACACAGCTTTTACACACAGCGAGGCTTTACACAGCTTTTATACACAGAGAAGCTCCTACACAGAAAAGATTTTCCACAGAGAAGCTTTTACACACAGCAAGCTTTTGCACAGAAAAGTTTTTGCACACAGAAGCTTTTACAGAGAGAAGCACTTACACAGAGAAACTTTTACACACAGAAGCTTTTACACAGAGAAGCCCTTACACAGAGAAGCATTTGCACAGATGGGCTTTTACAGGCAGAAGCCTGTACACACAGAAGCTTTTACACGTGGCAAGCTTTTACACAGAAGCTTTTACACAGAAAGCTTTTACCCAGAGCAAGCTTTTGC